ACTCTAAGAAGAAAGGAGAGCTTCCATATGAAATGTGATGATCTTTGGTAAATATCCCTAAGGTATCTATTTTGTTTTGTTTTGTTTGAGTCAGAATGTCACTCTGTCATCCAGGCTGAACTGGTGTGGCACGCTCACGACCACTGCAGCCTTGACCTGCTGGGCTCAGGTGATCCTTTCACCTCAGCTTTCCAAGTAGCTGAAACTACAGACACGTGCCACCACACCCAGCTAATTTTTTGACTTATTGTAGAGATGAGGTCTTGTCAAATTGCCCAGACTGGTCTTGAACTCATGGGCTCAGGCAATCCTCTCACATCGGCCTCCCAAAGTTCTGGAATCATAGGCATGAGTCACCACGCCCAAGCCTAAGGTATCTATTAATAAAAAATTTAACTTTATATGACAAAAACACCTGCCAGTGGGCACCTTAACCAAATATAAAATTAATATCGGCCGGGCTTGGGCAACTTGGTGAGATCTTGTCTCTACAATTAATAAAAAAGGTAGCTGGACATGGTAGCATGTGCCTGTAGTTCTGGCTACTTGGAAGGTTGAGGCAGAAGGATTGCCAGAGTCCAGCAGGTCAACGCTGGGGTGACTGTGAGCATGCCAGTGTACTCCAGCCTGGGCGATGGAGTGAGACTCCAACTAAAAAATAATAAATAAATAAAATTAATATAAACTGTAAGAGGACAAATTGGTATCAGGTGCCAAGGCACATGGATGACACAACATCAGTGCTGTGATATTATTGGCCAAAATAATATTAAATTATAATCTGAATCTAATAATGAAGAAACATACAGTTTATGTAGAATTCTAGCTATAGGTTTTTCCCAAGTTTTGTAATCTCTAATCGTGTATTTAAATTGTCTTTTTTATTTTTTAGCGACCTAGAGAGCAAGTCTCTTCCAATTAGTCTTTATTCAGAACTTCCTGAGTGTGTCTGGGTAGTAAGTGCCATCCTGATCCTGTTTAAACATGCATTTTATTAACCATGTTCTGCATGGAACTGAAGGAGCATTCAGATGAAACCCTAATAGTACAAGTTTCCATCCCTTTGCTAGTATCTGAGGATCTGCCCCATCTCTATAAGAATTTGGGGTATCCATGCCTTCCCATGTTCCGCAGACACAGGGGAGCATTTTTAATACTGCAAGTCATAAATCAATGGTGAGAACTGTTTATGGCATCTAAGAGGTCTGGATGCAGATGACAGAGAGAAGGCTCTCTGTCTATGCAGGGAAGAAGTGTTTTTCTGAACTTTTAAATATCACACCCATACCCAAAAACTAGGTGAAACAAACTCATCAGGCAGGACCATCACAAGTAAAGAAGTAAAGGTTTGCAAGTTCTAAAAAGATGACATTCCAGTAGAAAAAGTAGACAAAGCTCCTGACCTGGGACACATTTACCTGAGAACAAGGCATTTCTTCCTCTTCCTTCTGTGAGATATTTTCTCAGGTGAGATTATCTGGACAAGTCAAGCCCACATTTTGAAAATATGCCTTTATTTTTTCAGTAAATTATTATTTTTTTAGCTGGATTCTCACTTTGTCATCAAAGCAGGAGTGCAATGGCAACCATCACAGCTTATTGTAGCCACAACTTGCTGGGCTCAGGTGATTCTTTCATCTCTGCCTTTCAATTAGCTGGGACCACAGGCAAACACCACCACTCCTGGCTAATTCTCTTGATTTCTTTTTTTTTTATTTTGGGTAGTGAAAACATCTTGCTATGTTGTCCAAGCTAGTCTCAAACTCCTGGGCTAAATAAATAAATTTTCTCAGGTAAGCCTCCCAATGTGCTGGGGTTACTGGCATGAACCACCACGCCTAGCCAGGATATGCCTTTAATACATAAACACAATCCTTTACTTGCTACCACCAAACCCACAGACAGAAGGACCTAGAAGTGCAGAAAACGTTCACCTTTTTCTGCCTTTTGTCACAGAAAACAGGTTCAAGAACAGAGAGCACCTACATAAAGCCATCCTGCCTTCAAGTGCCATCCCTTGCCACAAACACCAACAATTTCTGCTATAGCAATGAGATTATGGCCCCACTGACATGCCTGGCCAAACCCAAGCAGATCAGGCCAGGTGAACTCTCTTCTAAACTCAACTCTCACGAATCTATCTGGGCACCCTAGTGCTTGCCTCTGACGCCACCTTAGAAACACATGAGGACAATTAATAAAAACAACACGGACACTTCCATCAAGACTGATAGAGTCTGTAGGGAAGGCAAAGGTTATGGTATTTATTTATACTAGCCATGTGACCCTAATTGGAAGCATGGGATCAGAACCACTTAACTGAGCATTATCTCTCAAGTTTTTTTTTTGTTTTGAGTTGGAGTCTTACTCTGTAACCCAGGCTGGAGTGCAGTCATAGCCACCCCAGCATCGACCTGCTGGGCTCTGGTGAGCCTTCCACCTCAGCCTTCCAAGTAGCCAGAACTACAGGTACGCACTACAATCCCAGCTAATTTTTTATTTATTGTAAAGATGAGGTCTCACCAAGTTGCTTAGGCTGGTCTCAAACTCACAGGCTCAGGCAATCCACTCACCTCAGCCTCCCAAAGTGCTGGGATTACAGGCTTTGGCACCAAGCCTGGCCATCTCTCAAGCGTTAATTTACACATAAATCTTTTGGTGTTTTGGGTCTCGTTCTAAGAAACTGTGCCTTTGCACATTTTAAGGGATCACTGAATAAGCTTTTAAAACAAGTTCCCTGTAAATGAATGCTGATGTTGATCCACCTGAACCCAAAGTCAGCAGAACTCAGTTAGAGAAAGCAGGAGCAGCCCACAGGATCCCTCACACCCAACACTCTTATCACAAGACAAATACTTTTGATCTAAATAAAGACAACTAATACCCATCCTGAAAGATTACATTCTCTGCTGACCCTTTAATGTTTACAGAAGTTGACTGGGCATGGTGGCTCACATTTGTAATGCCAGCACTTTGGGGGGTGGAGGTGAGAGAATTCCCTGAACCCAAGTGTTTGAGACCAGCCTGGGCAATGTGGTGAGACTTCATCTCTACAATAAATCAAAAAATTAGCCAGGCATGGTGGTGCATGCCTGTAGTTTCAGCTACTTAGAAGACTGAGAATGAAGGATCGCTTGAGCCTAGCAGGTTGAGGCTGCGGTGGCTGGGAGCATGCCACTGCACTCCAACCTGGGCAACAGAGTGAGCCTGACCAAAAACAAAAAATAAAAAAATTAAGTTTATGGAGGCTGGATGAAAAAGGCAGCAATGTCTGAGGAGGCCTGCCCTTCAAAAGTTACCTGGACACGTGCCCTAGGGTAGAGTTTACAGGGCATGCACCACTATGCGCTCAGAAGTACGCTGCAATGCACTGTGCTGGGAACCACAACCACACAATATGAGAGTGAATATTCCTACATCCTGGGATGGAAGTAATAAGTGTCCCTTAATTCTCAGGATTGAGGTGAAGAACCCAGTATTTCTCTTTTTGTTTCTCCATCATTAATTTTAAAAGACATCATTAATTTGGGGATGTGACAAATAAAGGCTAAATATAAAAAGATGGGAAGAATGCAGAATGCAAAGGCAGAATGTAGTTCAGAGGGATTTTTCGTTGCTTATTTATGTTGACTTTTTTTTTTTTTTTGAGTTAGAGTCTCTGTCACCCAGACTGGAGTGCAGTGGCACACTCACGGCCACCATATTCTTGACCTGCTGGGCTCAGGTGATACTTCCACATCAGCCTTCCAAATAGCTGGAACTACAGGCACGTGTCACCATGCCTGACTAATTTTTAAAATGTAGAGATGAGGTCTCCCCAAGTTTCCCAGGCTGGTCTTGAACCTGTGAGCTCAGGCAATCCTCTCACCTCAGCCTCCCAAAGTGCTGGGATTATAGGTTAGCCATGGCGCCCAGCCTTATATTTACTTTTTTATAACTTAAGGAGCAACTACTGGATCTGCAGCAGTGGACAATAGGTTGCTGGGAGACATGACTCTAGAAACACGTGTTTTAAAAAGTAGAAGCTCCCAAATACATGGTTTTTGGGCAGGACTGGGGAACGGAGAGTCCTAGGCAGGATTCTGATGTCTGTGCTTCTGGTTTTTCAAGGTCTGCATTTCCTAAACCTGCCCAAGAGAAACTTCACTTCCAGAGATTGTATAATTTGAATATATTTAAGCCACTTAATTCCTTGTCTACTTTATAACATATAATAACAAGTAATTTCACCAAAAACTCTCAGGCTTTTCTAGGACAATTAAATTAGAAGCTAAGTAGTTTTTAATAAGGTTAAAAGCAACAGAAACAAAAATGGAAACAGTAACGCTTCTGTCCATTAATAGCCCTTCAGACAGTGACATCAGAACTCACAACTACTAAGGAAAAGCTCCAAATGAAGACCAAGTCCCCTGAATACTGCCATTTTTTGTACTGACCACATGGTGCTGAATTTAACCATTTACAACTGATGGAAAGTTCCTAAATTGTAGGGGCCTTGACTGACTCATCTGTTTTTTTATTTTTTTTTTTTGAGTTGGAGTCTCACTCTGTCACCCAGACTGGAGTGCAGTGGCCGCTCCCGGCCACCGCAGCCTCGACCTGCTGGGCTCTGGCGATCCTTCCGCCTCAGCCTTCCGAGTAGCCGGAATTACAGGCACGCGCTACGCCCAGCTGATTTTTTTATTTATTGTAGAGATGAGGTCTCGCTGCCCAGGCGGGTCTCGAACCCGCGGGCTCAGGCAATCCACTCACCTCAGCCTCCCAAAGGCGCGGGATTACAGGCTGAGCCACCGAGCCCGGCTGACTCATCTGTTTTTATGGTGACCATGTGACAAGGAGATAATTGGTTTATCTATCAGTTTGATTCTCCAGACCGCCTCCTTCTTCCTCCCCCAAGTACCAGGATACCAGAGCAAACCCCATCTGAGTACCATTCCCAGTTCCAAGCCATGATGAGTTCATGGAGGTTTATATTTTTATTATTTAAACTCAGCAAATAAAGTATTATCTTAGCTTCTTCAGATCACATCCTTCAACCTAGTCAGACTTTCAACTAAAAAAACCCATCTTTATGTATATAAATTTTTAAAGACGTGGGGTACAAAAGGATAAACATCTTACACTCAAATAATGAAATAAAATTCTTAAATACTTGGACAAATTGGAACTATATGGTTGCAAGGTTTTTAAAAAGAAAACAAAAGAAAAGCAGCTCAGGGAAGTGGACTGTTTTGCCCACAGTCCACAGGCTTGGAACCACTCTCCCTGTGAGAAGCAGCCCAGAAGGACTCACTCCCACTCCGGGAAGGAAAGCTAAACTGATGGGAATTTAATTCTGGAAATGTAATTCTCCACGGTGCCCTCCTCACAGCATCAAAATGCTCTGATCTCCAAGGTCTCAATTTGCACCAAGGACTACATTCTCACCTGAAGTAAGTAGTTTAAGATTCTGACCTGCAGCATCTTTTTTTCTGACCAGCAAATGTGTGGAGTCTGTTGGTGTGGAGTCCAGCACCAACTGATTGTCCAACAAGGAAGTTCTGTTACCACCCAGAGTAAGCCCAGGCCCCACAAGCTAATGGCTCAGTTCCACAACTCTGCCTTTACTGCAGATGAGCGCTGCAAACCCCAGGTGCCATCCATCTATGCTTCCGAGCAAATGGCTATAAAGCAGGGGTTCCAATAGACCCTCTTCAGGTCCAAAAATTTGATGGAACTACTCACAGAACTCAGGAAAACACTTTACTTGTGTTTGCTAGTTTATTGTACCAGACACAACTCAAATGGTCGAGTGAAGAGATGAGTAAGGCATGGGATAGGGGCAGGGGAGATGGGGCTGGCAGGTGATTTTGGCAAACAGCTGGGACTGAGGACACCCCATCCTTTGTGCTCTGCCAAAGTTGTTTACTGAAAAGAAGCCTCCCTTACATTACGAATTAGGTGATGTCCCCCTTTTCCCCTCAAAGCCAGACATACACACTGCAAATCCTTATTTTCTGCCTCAGAAACAATTAAATGTCGGAACAAAATGCCTGTAAACTAAACTGCTGAAGTGTTCCTCCTTCCCCCAGGCCCCTGAACTCTAACCCACCTCAGCCTGAGTCAACACAACCCCTTTTATGCTCCTCCTAATAACAGGCTGACATTAGGGTGAAACAGTCTCTGAACTGGAATCTGGTGTTGCCAACCTCTGTCCTGCTCTCTCTCTCCCACCATTTAAAAAAAATCTTGGTTTCTCCCCACTCTGCCCATTTCTGCCTAAACTTTGAGAGGTTTGCATGTCCCATAGCTGGCACAGTCACCCTACTGCAGTACTCCTTTATTATAAAGTTATTTTAACCCAAACTCAAATTTATTTTATTTGACAATGTCTATAAACTGCCTCAGGACAATAAAACTTGTACCTTCCAAAAAAGCACCGCACGCTTCATTTCCATCGCAACGCTGATCACAGCTTTCCAGGGTTCTGCAGCTTTTCTCACCATCACAGGCACCTCCCATGACGACTGTGAACAGATGGGCACACCTGCAGGGGAGGCCCTCCGGGAAGAAGTACCTGGGCCATCATGACCTCCTTTTACAGGATCAGGACTGACCACTGCTTGGAATCTCTGGGCCTACGTGTCTGCTTCCTGACTGAGGTGATTCACTTAGTTTCACATGAGAAAACACCCAATACAAAAGAACTCAAATTCACTGTTCACGTCTATGAAGCGCTGGGAAGCACTTCCATTTCATACTCCATCATAAAAAGCAAAAGCATATATAGCTTTCAGACAAGAAAAATGTAATTATTACTTCCATGATAACAAATCGTTTTGTAGACAATTAATCACATGTGAACACTTCTAGTAGTTTCCTTGTTTTGTCCCATAACATTTAGCGTTAAACTGATGCCCAGATAACAGAATATAAAGCATTTATCTACTGGCACAAATTCTTCACTCAGCAAAAAAAGAGGAACAGATGTTTTCATGAAAATAAGTAGTTCACCAATCTACCACACTTTCTGGTGGAAATGTACTGATTTTCCACAGCCATAATATGAGAAAATTTTCCTTGTTTCTTTTCCAGGTTCACTTTTCAAAGCAACACCTTGGGATTGTTTTATGAACTCACACTGTAATAGAACTGACCTCAGAATCACCAGAGTGTGCTTCAGGAATTTGTTCCTTTGAGTTGCTGAGTCCGGTTCTGTTGTATGAAAACTCTACTTCTATTTTCCTATGACAGATATTTGAGTAATTCCTGCTTATGACTATTATAAAGGGTTTATGCATATGCTTAAATGAATGCATTTTGTATTAAATTTAATTACTAGGATTTAAATGACTTTTCTTTGCATTTTTAGTGCTTGCTTTAGAGGCTAAAATATGCATCCTTAATGTACCATAATGTACTTGAAATTAATACTGTGTTATTTTAAATATTTAATACATAAAATCTGCTACAAAGCAGCTCCATTTACCTGATTCTATCCTCTGTGGTACTTTTATAAATTTTAAATCTACATATTATAAATACCATGATGCAGTAAATATTAAAATATTACAAATTTTGCTTTAAATAATCATAGATTTTAAAAATTAAGAAATAAAAGTGTTATAAATATTTAAAAATAGGTGTTTGGAAGTTACATATAGTGTTTCTTCTTTAAGTTGCATGCAGAATTTTTTGCATGCATCAGTATGTCTTACCAAAAGTAAGATTCCAGTGGATGCCTTCCATCATGAAAGGGTAGGCGAAGCACACTGTTTCTACAGGAATAGGCACTTACTCTGGATATTCATTGGTTTTCACTGCATGCAGTATTTCTGCCAAAACTGCCATCTGTGGACATGTTGAATTCCTTATTCACAATTATGTTATTTCAAAAAGCATTGCTTCTGGGCAAGAAACTCACTTCAGAGCCAAGGATGTGGGACAATGAACATGTGCTTCTGGAATTTATCATCTTACCATGGTCCCCTTATCATGAAGCAGCTGGATTCCTGCAAAAGTCAAGCTGTCTTTGGAAATAATAAGAAAGGTACACTGAAAGATAGGTTGCAATACCTTCAGGGCAGGAGAAAAGTTCTCCAGAAAGCAGTATATGCTCTAAATCAGCATTCAATATACGGTGCTGTTTTCTTGTAGTCAGGATTCACAAGTTCAGAAATCAGGAGATCACAATGAAAGTGGCACCAGTCACCACTACCTCTAGTGACTCACTAGCAAGATTCTTGGTTCTTCTCACAACTTTTTAGTCTGCTGGGCTAGAGTTCTAGGGTCAAGAGGAAGGAATAATTCCACCAGAGCACACAGCACTGATTCCATTGAACTGGACATTAAGAATGGCACTGGCCACATTGGGCTTCTCATGCCTCTGAGTCAATAAGCCAGGAAGGGAGTTATGGTG